GCACCGTCCCCAGGCGGCTGCAGCCTCCCCGCTGCTGCTCTCCGGCACCGCCGAGGTCGAGCGGGGCGAGCCGGGTGCAGGAATCGGCGCTTGCCGCGGGCACTGGCCAAGTGTGACCTAGAAGCGGTGATAAAAGGGAGTTCTCGTCATTCCTCTCTCAAAGTCTGGCCCTCTGGAGAAGAGAAATCTTGTTCGATAAGAGGCACGAACTCCTGGAAGGCGAGCTCAGGGATAGCAGGCGTTAGGGCAGAGATCTCTTCGGTAGCGGTTGGAAGCGTGGCTTGAGGTAGATACCCCGCTCGGCTGGCGCGGGGAGCGAGAGCCCTGCCTGTGTCGGGGGAGGAGGGCTCAACAGCGTTCGGCGTTTGCTGCCGCCGAGTAACTTTTCCTTTTCTCCCCTCTCTAGGAGCAGTAGAACAAGGTCCTCGTGGCTAATTTTTTTTTTTTTTTTTTTCTTGGAATCATTGTGGAAGAAAACCTTTTTGTAACAGAGGTTTCTAGATTTGCAACATTTTGATGAAGACTTTTCTGTTTGTTTGTGAAACACTAGTTGTAGGATAATCTATACTGAACTTTTCTAAGAATCAGGAACAATTAGTAATGTACTAAACTCATGGACGTGCTGGTAATTTTGTTTCCAAATTTATAAAAAAAAAAAAAAAAAAAACAAAACAAAACCTCTGGGTTTCTTTTTGGAGAGAAGCCAGGGAATTTGCAGGCACCAAAACGCACCCCAGAGCTGTGACATTTCAACATGTGGGTTTTTTGTGTGTTTTTTTCCTTTTAATTTTCGATCTTTTCTGTTGCAACAGAAAGAGTGGCTTGGAAGTCTTAGGTGGTATGTAACAAATCCTAAAAAGAAAAAAAAAAAAAAATTTAAACAGTATTTAAATATTCTTAAATATGTAAATTCATTAAATGTTTTACTTCTAATTTCTTGTATCTTGGCTGTCTTTGATTTTATTGCATTTTTTAAAAACTGAACTATGATATGTATTGTAATTAATTATGTGAATTCTGTATTGAGGCAGTTGCTGTTTTGCTGTCAGGCAAGTTACGGGCGGGGGGGCATTTTGTAGGGTTTGTATAATTTCTAGAGTCTAAAGGGGTAATATAAAAATGTGTTAATTTTTTTAGCAATACATTTTTTCATGTCTCCATTGCTAGTTGCATTTATGTATCTAAGACCTCCAAGCTTGTTTAAAAAAAAAAAAACCAAAACAAAAAAAAAGAAAGAAAAAAAACTTTCCTCTATGCTCTCAGAAATATAAATACTGTTATTTTTAATATTAAAATGAATCTGCTATTAGTACCTTTAACAAACACTGTGGAACATAAAACCATATAAAAGGTAGTAACTATTTTTTAATTCCAAGGTGTTTTTTGCTTTTTCATTTCTTTTAAATATTTTCTTATCTAATATTTGTCAAATTACCTAGAGAAATAAATGAATCTAGTATTAACCACGGTATGCGCTAAATAATTTTGATTTAATAAAAGGGATAATATGATTTCCAATGTTTACTGTAGTGTTTCTTGTACAGATAACAGTGTATTTTTAAAGGAAAAACGGAATTGAAGCTATTTTTTCTTGCATTTTTAATTGCCCTGCGGGACATTCCGTTTTGAAATGTACTGAAGTTACTGTTCTTGGGTTCTTTCCTTATTTTTCCTTATGCTTGAAATGTCTAACTATAAAGAAACGCAATTGGATAATGTTGAGCATGGTGTTTTAAAAAAAAAAAAAAAGTGTTCTTTTTATTTGACTGACAGGGAGCTCAGCTTGCTATAAATTCTTTGTTCTGGAACATGGCTGTGGACAATAGGTCAAAGATTAAGTAATTCATTACAGAACTAGTTGGTACTCCTGAATTTAATAAACAAATGGATGAACAGGGTTCTCTGTCCATAGCAAGATCCATTACTTTGTGTGGTTGGATCTTAAAATTTTTTTAAATTGCTTGTAAGGCTCCCTACCTACTTAATTCCTCTATGTGGACATTGCTGTATTTGAGGTGGCCTGGTAACTTAGCAATCACGATACAGATAAAAGCCCTAAAACCAGAAATTAAATGCAGTCCCACTAGTAACTGCTTACAACTTGAGATTCTAAGAAGGCGAGGAAGGGAACTGTGGATTGCATTTTGAAAGACTGAAAGAACAATAATGTGAAAATTCTAAACACAAAATACTCCTGCAGACCTCCATTTGACGGAGCAATCAATATTTTTAGTTCAGCGAGATTCCTGAAATAATAGCACTAAACCTTGTGGAAGAGTATATTACTCAAGGCTGCAGAATATAAAACACAGGCTCAAAGCGAGAGGGCTGCATTGAAACAGAGAAAAAGTGTTCTTTTTATTTGACTGACAGTTGCATTTTACACTCTATATAATAAAATTTCCACAAGGTGTCTTGTGGGCGAAGTATTTGCAGTCTCCTTTACTCAGTTTGCTCCTGCTCCGCTCGCCGAGGTCCCTGCGCCGGCCCCCGCGTCCTCTCGCCTTCCGAGTAGTTTGGGACGATCGGTGAGCTCCGCTCGAGCCTTAATTCTAGGGAAACTCGACTAACGTCGCGTCGAAGCCTCTCTTGGCACCGTGGCGCTGAGGATTCCCACAGTGAGGTGCTGCAGCTGCAGCTCTCTGGGCCAGAAGGAGCTCTTTGAAAGCAGGGAGGTTTTCCGTGAGCCGGAGGGGCGCAGGGCTGCAGCCACGTGAACCTTTCATTGCTTGTTGAGGAGGCGGCAGCCCCTGGTTTTAATACCCTGAGCTCGTTGCTCTTCCACAACGTTGTCTTTGCGGCTGAATCTGTCCAGGACTCACCCTCCGCCCCGATCCCTGCAAATGGGGTGGAAGAGGGATGTGGGCCCACGCCTCTGGCCGTTCGCACCCGTTAGAGATGTTATGGAGCAGTAACTTTTAGCTGTATCCAGGCCAAGGTGCTACCGCTACCCCCTTCGGAGATGCCTTTCTTGTAAAATGTGAGTTTTGTGCTCCTCCACCCTAAAATCGCTCTGGCCCCGTGCCCCAGCCGGCTGTAGGGGAGCTACAGACGGGGGAAGGGAGGGAGGGAGGGAAGAAGATCCCATCTGCAACGCAGAGGGCGGGAGGCATGTTGAGAGCCGGAAGAAAAGGAGATGTAGCATCTCTAAATATACCTCCAGAGAATCAAGAGAGACAGTGAAAGATGGGATAGTAAAAGCCACTTGGAAAGAGGGGAGAGGGGGGAAAAAATGGCTAGAGGAGGGCATAAAGGCTGCTGATGGGAATTGGGAGCGGGCATTACCGAGAAGACTTCCTTCTAATTCATCTTCCAAGCTCTGTGCCAAAACAGCATTTGGCATGGTTCACAGGGAGCAATTGTGTGATAATGAACCCTAAGGTGTCCCTTAATTGAAGACTGAGTATTACAGATTGTGCCAATAGTCGTAAATGGCGCAGGATTGTGGGAGGATGCATTTTCTTAAATGTATCTGTAAGTACAGATTAGTGAGCCTCCCCAGTGAAATACCCATACTATAAATTATGGAAATATCTCTTTCTGATGCAACCTTTTATTGAGGGGGTGGGGCAGCAAAAGAAATAGTTTGCAAGCCTTTGAAATTTGGCCTGTCATTAAGATGGTGCCTGCAAAGCTGGGTTTTCATCAGCAGTCTGGTGTCCTGGAAGGCTAAAGTGCTTGAAACGTTCCCAAGTTCAGCAATTTGTTTTCCATTATTGCTGCCTGCTCGGGGCGGAGGGGCCGCAGTCATTAAACTTTTTTCTCTCGTGACTCCACCAGCGGCTGGAGAGGGGCAGGGCAGGAGGCAAGGAGACTCCTTGGCACCTCACGAGGGGCTGGGGAGCTCTGGGTTCCTCCAAACCCCGCTCTGGCCCTGCTGCCGTCCGGGGGTCCCGGGGATGGGTGCGATGGTCAGGGCTGGCCAGGGCACCTCACATTTCACTCTGGTGGCCATAGGCAGCTCCTCGTGGCTCCTGGCTCCACTGTGTTGTGCAGCCCAGAAGCTGCTGTGGTGCCTTCAAGCCAAGCCTGTGGCCTCCAAGAGAGGAACAGAGTCTCCTGCTCAGCTCTCGGCAAATTTAATCCCCAAATGAAGTGGATTAAGCACTGACTGTGTTAGTTTTTATGGCAGGGGGCAGTTGTCTGCCCCTCGGGCAGAAACTGGACGCTGCAAGGAGCAGGGCAGGTCCCCAAGGTGCCGCGTAGGAACCAGCACGTGGGCCACATTTGGGGCTTTGGGGTCCATGACCGGCAGTGGGGACGGTGCAGCCTCTTCCTCCTCATGGGGGAGCAGCACCCAGCACAGGGCCATGCCCCGGTGTTAATCCCAGGGGACAGCGAGGAGACCCTTCTGTTTGGGGAATGCTCTGCCTCTGGAGCGCAGCGTTTGGGGACGGAGGAACCGGAGTTAAAGGACATCCCAGGTGAGTGCCCCAGCAAGAGGTCCCCAGTCCCGGCTTGTTGGCTCCTGTTCTTTCCTATCTTTACAAATAACATTCCTTCCTTCGAGCGCGATCCCTTTCCCGAGGCCTCGGCAGAGGCACACGATGGCTTCGCTCCCTCCCAGCGTGAATCCATCGCAGCTGTATTCAGCAGCCCGTCTTCCACGGGAGGGTGTGGGCGTCTCGGCCCCGTGTCCCGTGGGACTGCGCGAGCTGTGCAGCTCCTGCCCCACTCTTCGGGCATGGAGACTTCATTTCGAAGTAGAAGTTTATTGCGGTCCTTCTGCAAGCCATTTCTGAGCAGCAGTCTGAAAAAGCCCAGCACTAAAGCATCTTGCTGGGTTCATGATGACCCCGATGCTCTCCTGTGCTCTATATTCGGTGTGCCTGAACAGGCAACGGCTATTTTCGGAGCAGAGGGGAGACTTTGCAATAGTCTAAAATACTTTCTTTAATTTTGCATGATTTGAGAACAAACTACATTACGGACATTGCGAGTTAAACCAAAATGATTATTGAAAGAGACAACCAGGCATGGGACTTTTTTTTTTTTTTTCCCCCTTCCCTGAGTATTAAATATTTAATTGCATTAGAGCAACAGTATATTTACAGTAAGCTGGGTGGGTAATGGGCAGCGTGGTCGGAGGGAGAGCTCGTGGTATTTAACTCGAGGCTTCTTGACACAGTGTGGATGTTCGTGTGCTGCTGCATCCCCCGCAAACCCGCTTGGTTCATCTCGCTCTCGGGGGGACTTTTGGGGCTGTTGGTGCTTGTAGGGTTCTGGTGCGGGGCGAGGAATTGGTGGTTGTTCCTGTGCAAAGGTGTCAGTGTACCCTGCCCAGCAGCACACGGGTGTTTCAGTCCATGTAGGGAGCTGCTGAGCCTGCATTTGGCTGGTTTGGAAGTTTTTCCCCTGGATTAGCTGTGAGTAGCAGCAGTGCAGGGTGGATGCTGCAGACCGGGCATTTCTCTGCCCTCTTAGGGCTGGAAAAGACACAAAAGGAATTTCCCACTTTTTATGCTGGAAATCAGCAGAAACCGGGCACCAGGAAACTGCTTACAGGAGGGACGCTGGAATTAGGCGGGGTGAGGATGAGTTGGAACAGCCACAGCTCCCTGGTCCATTGGTGAGAGGAGACAGGAGCCCCTGGAGCCGGGGGCAGCGAGTGGGTGGGCACCGAGCCCCCATCCTTGTCTTGGCAGGGGCTGGAGAGGGAGGGGGATGTCGGGGGACCCAGCCATCCCTGGGATGAGGGGATTGGGGTGCCTGGTTCCCCTCTGCTGCCTCTCTCCAGGTCTGGGACACCTGGTTTGAGGCAGGCGACCCAAAAGAGCATCTCTGGGGTTGACATGGGGCAGGTACCAACAGCCCCCCCAGATTATCTTCCCACCCTGCCCCTCATCACTTGAGG